TTGTTGCTACTCTCCACCATCTTTAAGCAATCCTAAAGCTACACATGCACTTTTAAATGTTGAATGAGAGATTCCATAAATAGTCTTTAAATGCTCAAATGATTGTGGACCCTTAACGTGGATTAATAGAAGCTTCAAATAATATCTTTTTATCATTGTAAGATTTGTAAAATATAATCTTTCAATAGCAAATCCACGTTTTCTTAATATCTACATCTTTCTTGTCTTATGCCAAATAAAATGTTGTAGAAATTATTGGTATGTATATTGTCTTTCCACTGCAATTGTTGCACATATTTCAAAAAATGAAGTTAATAATATCTTTTATCTTTTAGCACATTCTAAAATTGTAGCTACCTTGTCATTTAGATCATATACTATTTGATGCATTCTTAGAAGATGAACAACTAAACAAAAAATATTTGGCATTTCTTCATAGATTTGCATGCCAAAAAGTCTCCAAACAACCTCCGGAGCTCCAATGTATCTTGCATCCAAATATTGTTTGATCTCATCTTGTTGGTTTTCAAATTGCATTATAATGCAATCATAGCCCTTATAGATGTATTTGTGGATATACTTAACAGCACAAATAGATACAAATATCTCAATATTAATATGACAATTGTACTTCCGAGATAGTTTTGAACAAAATGGAACATCCTTATTATCAATAACCATTCTTTGAGCTTCACATATTCTTCTATCATTTTTTCATCAATATTGAAGATATCTATCAACATCCATTGTTGTTTCTTTCACAAATATCTTTGCATACATCTTTGTACAATAACCATCTTCCATGCAAGGTACTTGAGGATTTTACATTCCGCATGGACCATGTACCATGTATTATAGAATAACTTCAAACAACTCTTGATTGTTGTCTTTATCTAAAAACTCTATAGAAACAATATGATCCACATCTCTAGTGCATCTAATCTTACTTTCTCTATCCAAAAAAATCAAGATATGCATATGAGATAGATTTCTCTTTTGAAATTCAATGATATAAATATGTACAACAATATGACCAAAGACAACTCCTTTCTTTATATCTTCCATAGTTACACGTCTCTTGAGCTCAAATATATGGACAACTAAATCTAGTCGGTTATTTAATTGTTGTCTTTAAAACAATTCATTTTGGATTTCAGACCATCTTGAATTAATTGTCACTATCATAAAAATATCAGAATGGTGATAAAATCTTGTAATTGCTATAGAATCTTGAAGTATTTCTATCATATATCTTAGACTTCTAATATATGATGATGGAAGTAAGATCCTATGTCTTAAATTATTTAATTCATATTATCATTCTTCATGTCTAATACTTTGATGAATTATAACAGCATCCACCAATCCTTGGTATAAATTAGTACATAGATTTCCTTGATTGTAATGTAGATCACACAAATATAATTGATTGGTTGCTGCCTATCCATGAACTATAAATTCTTGTAATAGCTTTCTTCCATGCAAAATTGTGGAATACTTGGTAGGCCTTAAAAAAAGTTGATAAGCAAAATAATCCATTTAAGTTAGATTGTTGCTTTTCTAATCTTCTTGTCCAACACCTTTTCTTTCTTCAACAATATCTATCACTACATTTTACACCCTTAGGTCAAGATGCCATCTAAGGATTCCATGTAGAGCAAATAAGTAGAATGAGCCTCATGAATTCTTTCTAATAATCTATTATTATGTAGGCAAAGAATAATATCACAAAGTGTATTAAGTTTTGATCCATTTCTAAGCAATATAATAGTAATTTCTTTAAAAGTAGTAGAAAGATTATATTGGTGTCTATTGCTTCATTCATGAAGTGCAAAGAAATAGGAAGATCTACTTCTACTACTCCTTCACTCCGTACTTGAGATAGTATTTCATGTACTTATTTATACAATCCAATAAACAAATTATTCTCCCTCAAAACTTTTTCAATTTCTTACATAGTTTAGATCAATAATCTATAATTACAATTCATTCTTCTATCTTGTACAAATGATGCATCATAGATATAGAATTGTACATAACTTGGGTCAATTCTTTCTTCTTGTAACAATATTCCCGCTAAATGGCACAACTCTCTATTTATTCTAAAATTGTATGGAGTATTTTCCTAAACCACAGATCAATCAATATTTATACTTAAGGATGTAAATACATATGCAGCATTGTACTGACGTATATTTTTTTAGAACTCCCTTGCTCTTACATCTTAGTCTTCAAATAAGTGTTTCAAAAGCAAAGGTGGAGAAGGTAGAGATGATAGAGAAACGTTTCTTTGATGACAACATTGTCCAAATAATGGCAATTCCTTTGGCAACCAGACTAAATATTTATCAAACCAATGCAATGCGTTACAATGAGGATACAAAACATTAATCCTCATTAGATTATGTATGGCTTTAACACTTGTAACTATTTTAGGTTCTCTGTCTACTCTCTCACGTTCTTTACATTGTTGTTGAGCAATCGCTTTCCGATTCATTGTTAAAGCTAGACCGTTCACAATGGCATAGGTTCTATTAGACAATTTAAGTAAGCTTATAAGTATCAAAATACTACCTCCATAAAATTCTAATAAAACCTTGTCACTCAAGTATTTTAACAAAATTTTATAATACTTGTAAAATAAAAAATAAGCACATATAGCTTAATTAGTCAAATTATAATGTCACAATACTTTAATACAAATATTCTACATCTATACATCCCTATAAATTATAATTATACATATTTTTACAACAACTTGCTATAACAAAAAGGTCAATTTTTTCAAAATATTATATTTTATAAATCATAAATGAAATTCCTATAATTTAATTTTTGTATAACAACTCTTGTTCAAAAAAACTAAAAATAATAACTAATAACTAATAAAATTTTAAAAAATAAAAAATAATATAATAAAATTTAATGATAATAATAAAATAATAATAAAATAAAATATTATCTTAAAAATAAATATAATCTTAATTAATTAATAATTATAAATAATAAATAGTTTTTGAAAATAATAAAATTAAAAAATCCAATTTTATGCACACAACTTGAATCCAACCTACATTTCACCACTTCAATAACAAATCCAAACATCAAATCAAAAAAAAAAAAAAAAAAAAAACAAACAAACAAACAAACAAACAAACACAAACAAACAAAACAAAGAGCAAACAAACAAACTCAAAAAGCTAAACATAAACACAAATTTTTCAATATTTCAGCAATACTCACTGCAATATTTCACTGCAATATTTCAGCAAATATCATAAAATTAGAACTCCAGCCTCCTCGAAGAAATATGCGTGCATCTTAAAGTTGATTATAGCAATATTTTTGAGCAGCAAGATCGTAAGCCCATGCTGCTTCTTCCTCGTCATAAGCCCTTGATGGGATAACAAACCAAAAGCAGGATCCGCGATGAATCCGTTTTATTAATCCATGATGAAATCCTTCTGAAATTCTGATTGCAAAGCACAATGATAATAATTTGCAATTCATAAATTTGACAAAACACCAATGTTCAAAACCAATGTTTGAAACACACAGAACACATTGTTCTTACTCGACACACAATACTTAAACACATGCTGAGCCTTCCTCGATGTATTTGCCTTTCAAGTGTCTATATGATTGCATTACAGTATGAAGTGCATAAATCTGAGGAGGAGAAAATCAGTGTGAAACACCATGAAAAACACCCTATAGAACTCCCCATTCAACTGTAAAAGGGGTTGTGAACTTCACAAAACATGAACCTTTTTGGTGAAAACGAAGGCCCATCCATGCCGTGAAAGAGGCCACCACTTGTCTCCTTGATCGATTTTAATATATAGATTCTAATCTACATTCAGACAAATGATTATCTTTTTGCATGTTGTTCACTTAAGCTTAAGTGATAGTTACTAAGGTTAAAACTTATCTTTAAATATTTAATATAAAATTTCTGGGTAAAAAAGATGGAAAAAAAGACAATGGTCTACTTAATAAGCAATGTACCTTACTTAAACAAGATATATGGGTTTGAATGTAGTTATTTTGTAGAAATGGACAATAAAAATCAGAAAACTGTGAAATTTTTTTATATGCTATTTTAAAACCAAATATATTCTATTAGACTCATTATCATCAAATTCAACTCAGGTTCATCACCTTTTGAGCAACAGCTATATATATATCGTTTTGGTTTTTTGTGATTATTTAAGGGTTTCTGATGGTTTTTAATGTTTTTGATTTTCTGATTTTTTCCTCTCCTGAGTGTACACCTGCTACGAATATTCATCTTCAGGGAGCACCAGTTTAGAGAGAGTTTCTTACTAGCCCACATGTTCACACACACAGAAATTAGAACACATGGATCACATCTCATGTAGAAATCCAAAGACAACCACCAACAAAGTCAAACCACGACCCAGAATAGAACCGACCTCTTTTACAATCCCCACAAAAATTTCCGTCTCGCATGCAACGAGATGCACATTCAAAGAAACCAAAGTGACACCAACACTCATCGGCATCACTCAAAACGGGCCAGGAATAGAACTATAGCTAAGCCTCGGCACTTAATCCCCTCATTCTAGCTCGGATAGTATCAGACCCTGACGTCAGGGCAGATCGTCCGGTAGCGAGGATATTCATACCGTCCAGTGCCGTGCCAGTCGGCTGCGCTGGCACGGCATGCCTTACGATCCGCAGTGCGGTCAGGGGTGTCCGTAGTGCAGCCTTTTTGCCCTATCTCCGTTTCCGCTGGCTGCGGAGGACGGTCTCAGGCGCCGGATGCGGTGATGGGGGATTCGTGTGTCGCGCTACTGCTTTTACTTTTTTTCGCCTTTAGTTGTTTTCGGGCAGCGTGGTAGCCGTGGCAGCTTGGCTGTAGGTTTGTGGTCACGTGCCGGCAAAAAATTATTTTATCCGTGTCAGATGTTGGCGGAAATGACGCGCGATTCAGCGCGGGGAATGGTTAGTAACTCCAGTTCGTGTGGGAAATGCGGAGTGAAGGTGTGTGGGTCGCGGCGCACGGTAGGCGCAAGTAGTTATACTTTGTGGGCATGTGATCAGTCGAGGTTGGTCATGGACGGCACTGAGACGACGAATGGTTCAGTGACGGGTATTGCTGCAGCCGCGGCAGTCACTCGAAGGGTGTGCCTGTGCGTTGCAAGTCCAGGAATTTAGCAGCTGCTGTTGGGGGGAGGCGAGCGAGTGGTATCGATTACTCTGCAGTCGTAAGACATGGGCCAGTGAGGACACGATAGAACGTCCCCCTACCAGGTATTTGTTTTGCGTTTCATCCAATCGTGGATGTCGTGTAGCTTTATGAATCAAATTTGATATGCCCGCCAGCCCGCCCGGATGAATCGGGTGCTCAGCCACAACGGTCGGAGCGAGTCAAGCAGTGGTAGAGTGGAGTTCGGAGCCAGCGCAAGAAGTCGGAGAACCAGGTGAAAGCGCAGGGATGTAGAAGAGTCGCGAGGGCCAAAACTGACATTCCATTTTCTATGCCCCTTGGATACCCCAAAAGTGGCGTTCAGTCGTCAAGAATCGAGCCCTGGCTACCAATGCTAACCCCTCCCAAGTTCCTCCTGCCCAGCTTATGGATCGATTTAGTTTTTCTGTGGAGATTTATTCTGCCCAGCTCTCTGACCGCCCGCTGCCCAGACTGGATGAAATCCCGCGGTGGAATCCAACTACGAGGAGGTGCTTCCGTAGCGGGCGAGCGGAGCCATTCAGTTTACTGTAGCCATGTGAGTTACGGCTAGCAGTTGACGGATGTTGGATATGCTGTAAAGGGGAACGAACGATGCCCGTCCCCAGATTCTCTCGCATGGATGAATCCCCGCAAGTCGATTAGGAGTGCCCCTGAAGTTTCTTGCGGGGAGCTGCCGCGGCGGACTGCTGGCTTGGGGTACGGCAGTTGAGTTTGATCTGGTTGCATCTTATTGGTTCCGCGTCGAAGTTGCGATTGATTGCGAGATGCGGTGCTGGGATGGTGTGGCCTGGTGGTTTGCGAGCTCACGGGATGGACGTGCTGGGTGGATTGAACGGAGTGTACAGTCGGTGAGTGTGCCGTGTGGGTGTCGATGCGAAGGGATCGGAATAAGGAGTATTGCTCCTGCACCAGGCAGGTGGTGTTTGGTGCTTCGTCTCTGTATGGTTTAGGTGTTCTTTGGCGCAGACAGAAGCCAGCGGCACTTTCAGCGAGCTAGACTAGACTACTCCCGGTTTCCTCTGACTTCTGTTCTGATTGATCTGATTGGAGCTGGTCGGGGTAGAATTCAGGGCACAGGTGATCCGGCGACGGAGGAATTATAGTTTTCTCAGGGTCCGGTACCTCTGTTCACGCTTGCGATGGAGGCACGAGAGAGGTAGTAGTGTGTTACTGTGCACACAGGGATGCGGTGGGTTCGCATTGGATTACTTCGGGGCTTTCCAGTATCTCCAAGTATGTCCAAAGCAGAGCACCGAAAGGCGGTTACAGTAAGTGGCATTGTTTGATCCAAGGTAGACCAAGGACTTCGTCTGAATACGTCGTCTATATATCTCCGTTGCACTAATATGATGATCCTAAACCTCTTGTGATCTTTTGCCGCATACCAAACTTGATACGTCTCACTTGTCATTGGAGTTCGTTTATGAGCATTGGATTCGTGATGGTTCTGTCTGAACATAAACAATCTGCCTAGTATGGTATTTAAACAGCTTTTTCTCCTGTACGATGGGAATCTATCCTTATCTCATACTGCAGGCCAACAGAGCAAGCCTGTGCTTCAAGGATGATAGAGGAATCCATTAGAGTTAGTAATTATGGTAATTCAAGTCCAAGTGTTCAGGTAGAAGAGGGAATAAGAGCCAGGTTGATTGATCACGGGATTGACCACAGCATCAGTTTTCTCGCAAAGCCTCGATACCTAGCAAAACCGGTGGGGATGAGAACCAATTCAGGACTTCTGCACTAATCAGGTCTTTTCAACAGAATCGCCACGTTGCAGAAGTTAATTTCCAAATATAGACAAATCTCCTTAAGCCTTCAGGTCGCCACAGGCTGATTCGAACTACTAGTCTTCTTGTGTTGAGATATTTACAAGCGGGCTTGAATTTTAGTGGAATTAGGCTTCCAAAGATGAATATCATAGACGGCCTTGTGCCCGGCGGTCTTGGGCAACGAGCGGTGTTCGTGTGCAACCACGAGGCGAAGAACATCTACACCAATTCAGCATACCAGATGATGACCGGCGTGGATTCTGCGGAGGAATTGCTCAATCTGGGTTGGATCTCTTTTGTTCATCCCGAAGATTTGCCTGTAGGTTATCCGTGCCAACTATTCCTTCGGATCTGAATTTCTACTGCAGGCAATAGATAGAACTATGTGGAATGAATTCGGAAGCATGAAGTGCTTCTTTTCTTGGTTGATTGATGTGCACAGGCTGTGTGGGCTCTTGCGTTCGGACACTTCTCCTCTCCCGCCGATTGCAATCGACAAATTCAATGCGAGTATCGCCTAATGCACAAGTATAAGAAGAATTCCTACATATGGGTGAACGTGCAATCAGTGGACATGACAGGCTGCCCTGGACTTGGCAGGTATGCATGCCCACACTCCTGTATGTGAGGCTTCTTCCGAGTTTTCACAAGCCAGAACACGCTATTGTGATGTTCATTGGAATGATTTCTTTTTAATGTCTACTAACGTGGAGCAATTTGGATTACGATTGTGTAGTTTTGTGGGGATTTTGGAAGACATTTCTTGGAAGAAAGAAGCGGAAGAGTCTCTTCGGCGCAGCGAGGAGCGCTACGTGCTTGCGGTGCGGGGCTCCAATGACGGTCTATGGGATTGGGACATGGTCACTAACCAGGTGTTTTACTCTCAGCGTTATAAGCACATGTTAGGACTTGGCGCTACGGAAGTCGACGATTCTTTTGGAGTTTTTGAATCCCGATTGCATCCCAATCACCACGGTCAGTGCTCAAACCTTTTTGCTTTGTTTGCATTCTCGGCAGCCAACTCTCATACGCATGGTTTTGTTAGTACGAGAAAATCTTTTCAACGGATACTGAGGCTTTGTAAGCGTTGATCTCAAGAGAGGTTTGTTTGAGTCATCCTCCAGATTCTGTGTTGGCGACCATGAAAGACTATCTGGCAACGAAGAGTGCCGAGTCTCCCCCATTCGACGTGGAAACTCTCCTGCAGACGGGGGATGGGAGCTACAAGTGGTTTCGTGTCCGTGGTCAGGCTCTCTGGAATAAAGATGGCAAACCGGCCAGAATGGCTGGGTCTATTACGGATATCACGGAGAGGAGGAATTGGGAAGAGGAGCAAGCTCGACTGATTGCGAATCTCGCCATTGCTCGTGACAAAGCAGAGAAAGCGGCTAAAGCAAGATCCGAGTTCCTCGCTGTGAGGATCAAACTAAACTCATTTGTTTACGATGACAGTTCTAAATGTTTTGGTTTCTATAAACTCTTCATGTGTAACCTAATTTGTGTGATGTGCTCTATTGTGCGTTGAACATCAGATTATGAGCCACGAGATCAGAACACCGTTGAATGGAGTCATCGGCATGGCTTCAGTTCTCCTGGAAACAGCTCCCACTCCTGAGCAACAGGAATGCCTTGAAACCATAAGAACCTCCGGGGAGTGCCTGTTGTCGATCATCAACGACATCTTGGATTTCTCCAAAATTGACGCCGGGAAATTGACCATCAGTCCAGTGCATTGTAATTTGCGCAACGTGGTTGAAGACGTGGGAAGCATGCTCGCTCTTAGGGCGGAGCCTAAGGGAGTGGAGATGGTGGTTCGATACCGTCCTGCTTTGTCTGCGGTCTTCGTGGATGCCGTTCGGCTTCGGCAGGTCCTTATAAACCTCGTGGGAAACGCATGCAAGTTTACCCACATGGGCTACATCGCTGTCGATGTGTCTCTCGTATGCGAGAAATGCCACCAGGAACTAGACACGGGAGACGTGAACTGCTCCCACTGCGGCGCCACTCCCTCCTCCGCCATGAATGCAGTGAATTTTCCCGTGGCAAATCCGGTTGGGGAAGCAGCTTCTGCACTGGATACCAAGATTAAGGACGGACACTGGGGCCCTGATGACTCTGAGCCCGTTTTTGTGCACAACCCAGAGGACGGGCAGCGAAGAAACCGTGCTGTCCAGAACATCCGAGCTCAAATTACCCTCTGCGAATCGTATAAAGGTCTTAAAATTGATAAGGTCAACAAGACGGACATATTTGCGGAAGGCATCGGGAAGGAAGTGATGTCGGATCCCATTACGAAGGACTCCCAAGTGAAGCCACCTGTTTTCGCGAGCCATAATAAGAGGAAGAGACTATATGGGAGCATGGGGGATGAGAAAGGGCGGTGCAGCAATGAGAAGTCGGTTGATGCAGCCGAATTGTGTCCGCAGAATCCTTGCTGCTGCACTAGGGCGGCCGGAAAGAACTTAACGGAGATGAGTTCCACCTCAACTGGTGCCACGACCGCTCGCAGCGATGCGCATGATGACGAGGAAGCGAACTCGGCAAACTCTGACCGACCCCGAACAGTTCGTTGGTTTAGGTTCTCGGTGATCGACACAGGCATTGGGTAAGCTTCTACTCTTGTGTAGTAGGTTTGGATTCGCGTGCAGGAAGCTTGTTTCCTTGGTCGTAGTCTTCGGAGACCCTTTCGAACAACGACTTACATGACAGAGAGATCACACTTGTGACATGTTGATGCAGCATTGCGGCGACCGAACTGGACATGCTGTTTGAGAAGTTCACTCAATGCAGCACTTCAACGACGAGTACCTACGGCGGCACAGGTCTTGGCTTGGCAGTTTCGAAACGACTTGTAAGAATCCTGAGCTGACTGCTTTTGATCCCAAATGGATTGAATGTACATTCTGTTTTTGTATTATGGAATCTGGCTGTGTTTCTTATATGGTGTGGAAATCAACAAGGTGGAGCTCATGGGAGGTAGTATCGGTGTCGAAAGCGAGGAAGGCAAAGGCTCCAAGTTTACATTCACCTTACCTCTTGAGTTGGACCCTTCCTCCGAGCAAGGAGACAAACCTCCTACGACCTCCAATACCACGGAGGCCACTGCAAACGATGCTGAAATCGACAAGCAAAGGAGGCGTGTGCTGGTGGTCGACAACCATGAAATGACCAAGGAAGCCGTATGTGACCAGATACGCGCGTGGGGATTGGACGCTAAGGCATGCAGCAATGTCGACGAGGCTCTCGGAGCTCTGAAACATTCAGTTTCCATTCGACAGCCTTTCCAAGGTAAGTTAATTTATCGATTAAATTATCCATATCTCTGGGCTCGAGTGTTGACCATGGATTGACATAATATCATTTTTCTGCAGTTGCTATTGTAGAGCGATCAGTAGTGGAGCTTTTCGGAAACGAGATGAAGAAAGCTGCGTCAACAAACACGCTTGAAATCAAGCCACTGGCGGTCGTCATGCTGGGTCGGGTAGGGCACAGTCTTCCGTCGCAGCGACTTCTGGCCGACCTTGGGTGCTGTGCGTGCTTCAGTCGCCCCCCTCGACAAGCCTACCTCCGAGATGCTTTGTCCGTGGCCTTCTCTGGAGGAGGTGAATGTATCCGAATGAAACCGGATTTTACTCTTGACATGATGCGATCTGCGCCTCTGGGCTTGAGACGACTCTCGCCAACTAAATCCAGCGGCGGGCTCCTCGAAGTTGCTTCAAAGAACAAAAACAGCGTGGACCAGCAGTTGGACGCTGTTACAGAAGGCAGCCCTTCTTCAGAATCTACCGTCCTGATGGAAGACCAACCAATTATCCGGAATCCTAATATTCTCATTGTGGTAAGCGACCACATCCTACTCCATATCTTACTAGTCAATCCTGTTAATTCTTTTGCGACATCGTCTGCCGAGTAATGTGATGTCGTTTTCTTACGATTCCATTCCTGTCTCCGATGAGCGTCAGATCTCTTTTTTGTGCAGGAGGACAATAAAGTGAACCAAATGGTTGCCCAGCGACTGCTCAACAATTTGAGGTGCACCTCGGACGTAGCGTGCAATGGTGTCGAGGCCATTACTTTGCTGGAGCGCTCAAATGAATATGATATCATTTTCATGGACTGTCATATGCCTGTATGTGACAATTTTGCTACTTCACTCCAGCCGTGACGATTTTTTAATTGCATCATTCCTCATTCGTAGTTTCGATCTGTTCTGTTATGGACTTGTGTGCAGCTAATACCTCCCTCAGTAGAAGTATTTACTGCATATCTCCCGATGCAAGTCTGTTTTCAGTTTTTTCTTTAGTTTGGCTATTTCTTGGAGACCCAACTGTTAGTTTGTTTACATAGTCATCAGTTTATCTCACCTGAGCGTAGTAAAGCCTTGAGCAAATTCAAGCTCTACTTGTGGGTGTAGAGCTTCAAGTAGGAAACAAAGCTTGATGTATATTGTCGATGGATTCTAATGAAACGAACTGGGTTGAGTGGCGCGGCAGATTATGGATGGCTTCGAGACGGCACGGCTAGTGCGGCAGAAGGATTGCATCTCGCATACTATCCCTATAGTGGCACTCACTGCAGCCACATCCGAAGGAGAGGTGGAGAAGTGCATGGCAGCAGGAATGGACGACTACATCAGCAAACCTGTGACCAAAGGAATCCTGCAAAGAGCATTGGAGAAGTGGGTTGGAAAAAAGTCCAGATGGGTGTAATAGCTTGAGCCTATTGTGCTCTCTAGGCATTCATCGATTCGTCAAAATAGAGGAGTGAAGTCCTCAGGCACAATTGTGCCTGTTTCTCGAGCTGGAAATTTGCCTCGAGCGGCTGTTTCTAACAACAGCAACAAAATCTCCTCCTGTCTCCGCAATCACTCTCAGGCTCTTCCCACACACAATCAAGGTCACAGAACTCTGCCTGGAATTCGCGAGTTTGAGACACAATTGTTCGCACATGGACATGAAGGTGCTCTGTGGCACAACTTCGTGAAACTTTTGAGGGACAGTGGATATGTCTCACAAGATGTCGATATTCTTCTCCCTTTTCTGCCTTAGATTGGCAGGATTGGTTTTATATTGATATAAGTCTTAGGAAGAAGCTTGTATTTTGTTGACTTGGCGTAAGCCACTCACAGATTATTCTACCTTTTAAAAGTTCGCGACATCGTCTTTGATAACTAATCGTGTCGCAAAAGCCTGATTGAGCGCTAGGATAACTGCCCACTTTACGTTTGAATCCATGTGTTATTCGAACACTATCTATTGTTAGGAACGTGGAAGAGAATCACAGGATTGTTATCTCCACAAGGAATTCTTTCTGCAAAATGATTTAGCTGCATGTATTCACAATGATTTCAGACATGAGAAAACAGCGAACTCAATACACCATCTCTCATGACTATGTAGGCATGTAACATATACTTTTTCTTATTGCACCCGTAGTGTTTGTGTATGAAGTATCGAAATGGTTCTCATGATTTGAGATCTTGAAGAATTGGGAAGTAGGACTTTTGGAACACTTTCCCTTGTAAGCTTAAGTAGGACGAAATCTAATCTGAACTTCCCTTGAAAAATTAAACTGAAAGAAGAGAAATAAGTTGTAAGAATATTAAAAGTTTTGAGATTTGAAGCCTAATACGAATTCAGCTTCGAGTAGACTTCTGCAGTTGCGCACAGGAGGAAAATAATAAAATTACGATCCGTCCGATGGGTGTAAAAGCTTGAGCCTATTGTGTTGCTGTGCTCAAGCCTCAGGTTTGTGTCCAAGTTAGGCTACTAGATCACAAAGAGCTAGTTTATATTGCAGTAAGGAAAACAATGCCACAAAGCCAAAAACACGTATACATTTCCTCTATCTAGACCCTGAACTAACTGATGGCAAAATTCAACACCGGCTTGACAGATGCATCACTCTCTTCACGACTCTTCTCTGGTAACCATCGCCGAACCTCCACAGCCTCCACTACAAAGTCCCCTTGACAGAGTGGACTTGACAAATCTATACCCTCCCTCTTCGGAATGAAATGAATCAGCAACAGTGTCTGGTCAAACGAAAGGAATACATCAACAACATAATCTTTTGATAAATGGGAAAGAATATTGAAACCAAGCAATGAATTAGTATAGGAAAGATCTATCTGCATGCAGAGCAGGTAAAGGAGAAAATGAAACTTTCATTGATCCAGTGTAACCTACGAGGCGCACATACAGAGCAAGCTTAGACACAAAAGAGTAATTCCGCCTTCAGAGTTCACAGTTTACCTTGGCAACACTACCACACAGACGGTTCATAGCTTGCATTTCAGTCCATGTCTTCATCCTTTCCTCGTGTCCTTCTACCATCACTATGACGGCATAACTGCCAAAAGTGACACGGCAAGACGCTTAGTCTTTAGAGAATCATGTATGCAATGAGTGCAAAATGTGACGCTCAACTCAACCGAATACAAGATCAATATAGAGAGGAATGATGGGAACGAGTTTATTTAAACTATAACGCCCTTCTGTCACTCACTCTGAGTGGACTAGAGCAGGATGATGACGGTAAGCCATGAAGTCTGCACCATATTGAATGCCAGAACGCACTACCCACTGTTTAGCACGTAAATGGGCGTAGGCTATGTAAAGTTGCCCAAATTCTGGCTTGCTAGCTTGCATGCACCTCCAGACTTCTTCCTTAGAGAGAACCACACGCCCCTGCAAAACAAGAGCTAGATAAATAAGTCATCAAAGCTACGGAACCCTGGTGGTAAATCCTTGGCCGCAAACAAAACGATATCAGATAGGACTGAAGAATCTAGACATTACGGTTCTTAGTTTTCAGTTAAAGATACTCTTGATAAATGCCAGGGGTTGCAAAAACAAACCTCGGGTATCTGCCTGCAAATACATATGCACTCTAACTCAGAAGTAAGAAAGAAAGCCTCCTCCAATCCCAGTTGGAACATTCGCACATCCTCAAGTTCAGCGTTCACTTCAAGCAACCTAGGCGCGCCTTCATGCCAGGTTCAAAACAATAATTACAATTATCCCCACCAATGCTTCTCAAAATTGCCACAGGTCCTTAGAACCGTACACATATCCCTATTAAATGCGGAGCACTAAAAACTAATTCTTATGACACAATTTACACAAGGAGTGACGATAAGAAAAAGCATGTAGTTCGTGACAAGAAGGACGTATTTCTTACGAGTAGCAGTTGTTGGAACAGAGTCCTGTGGTGAGGTAGCACAGTATATTGGTTTGCCGAAGCATGCGCGATTGAGGATTTGCGCTTTGGCAAAATCGATACTCAAAATTACGGATGAATGGACGAGGAGACCTTCTACAGACTTCCACTCCCGCAACTCTTTATATAAACTGGAGATGGGCTCCTCCAAGGCAACTGCAGCTGCCTCTCGGGACTTCCATCTCACACCCAACTTCATCTTTCTTAATAAAAAGCTTGCCCTACATTTCTTTTTGCTCCTGATCCTCTCTAGAGTCTCATCCTGCGCATCAAATGTTCAGGTTTTAATAAATTAGAAGGGATACTACTACTCATCGACTTACAGATTTTACAAATTTTCAAACTGTACAGCCATTTTACAAGCAATGCGATGATGGAGCTCAAGCATTGTGACCTGCCAATGCAGCCCAGGCACCCGCTATGTTTCAGGAAAACCTAATTGAAAATCTTACCCTATTTCATATCAGCTCTGGGTATTCTCGGATGGGAGTGCGCCTTGAGACACTCCTGCAACCTGAAGCTCTCGCTCCTGCCTGAGTCTTTCCCTCTGAGTCACAAAAACCAAATTCAGGAATTACACACCCACAAACGCGCAACTGGTCACACTTCAGGAAATTAAAACGAAAGCATAAACATGAGCCGGATTTTGAGAAAGACGAGCGCATCGACACTAACCCGGCGGGCCCAGTACGGGAGGTCGCAAACAAAGTCGTAAATAGGACCCAAACTCAGGCAAAGCACACCATTCAGCGCCACGAAGGTGATGGTGGTCTGCAAGGGTCGTCTGGTGAAAGGCATTCTCGATGCTCCACTAACCAAATCTATCACTGCAGATCGTCACAGCCACAACACGCACGGCAGTCAACAACAAAACTCTCGGAGAAACACACAAGTCAAGGTTCAGGATTTTAGGGTCCGTCAATTTAGGTGTTGGGAACTGAGAACGGAGCGAGCTCACGGGAACTTCGAGAGAGACATCTACTGTGGCCTTGTTTCGGAGACTACTGCTTCCCCCAAGGGTCAGCCTAGAAACCCATTTCTCTGGTACATTACTGAACTACACTGTAAGTGTTGATTCATTGCAATCTGGTATCCTCTGCTGTTTCCGTGAAGAGTGGAGCATTGTCTGAGTGAAGGAACTGAAATTTGAAGCCATGGAGTCAACGCTGACGAGAGCTTGGGCTGCTACCAGCTTTAGTGCGCTGAAAACCGCATCAGTGAGTGCGTCCCCGCGAATGCTGAGTTCCACCGCATTTTTTCTTGGAACTTCAGTGAAGCTTAATGGAGGTACGTGGGTTTTTTTAGATTTTTTTCTCGTCTGCTTGTGTCTACTTGTCAGATGTACATGTGTTGATGTAATGTCCTGGTCTGTAATCTCAGACTTGACCGATGAGGTATTCCTGCATTTCACAGTCTTGGCGAGACTCAACCCTTGTGTATTTTAATACTGAGGGAGAGAAAAAGACAGTGTATTGATCAAAGAAACTTGAGATAGAATTCGGTTACCTCGTAATGGGTTGTGGTTTTAGTTTGTAATTGACTAGTAATTGTGTTGTTTAGGGTTGTCTTCGTGGCAGGCGGGATCTCAATGTCGAGGTATCCCCTGTCCCAAGAGACTCAATCAGAGGCTGCAGGTATCAGCAGCAATCAAAGAAGTGACGGGATCCTTAATGAAGGGCGAGGGTCTAAAATTTGGCGTGGTACGGTTTCTCGTCTGAAACCCAGAAAATAGTTTTTTTAGATTTTTTCTATTTTCTGGGTTTAGTTGGTATAATTCAGAAGTAGACAACCAGCATTTTTGTGACGGCTGTACGGTCTAACTCTGGGGAATTATGTGTAGGTTGTGGGTCGCTTCAATGAAGTCATAACTAGGCCTCTACTTGCGGGAGCTCTGGATGCGTTCCATAGATATCAAGTGCGAGAAGAGGATATCGACGTACGTTTTCTTCCCTCAGCTCTTTGTTAAGTGCACCTCAGTGACTATCTGAACTTCCATTCTTGGAGATGTTGATCAAAATTAATCAAAATTTAATTCGAGAAATTGGGGACTATTAGTGGCATTCTATAAGCTTCTTGTGGTAAGAGAAAATATCTTGAAGCATAGCACTCGTAGGCACAAATACACAGTGATCTTGAGCAGGTTTTGTGCACCTTGTAATAATTTATTAGCACAGAAGGTGACTTCAGAAGGTAAGAGTACTAGAAGGATCTTCACGTGCAATTTTTCTCTCTTTGGTGCCTGAAAGCCTAGCCCTTTGCTGTGTTTGAGGAACACACAATACCAGGATATTAACTCTCCTGAATATAATTCTAATGCAGGTGATCTGGGTGCCTGGAAGCTTTGAAATTCCGGTGGTTGCCCAACAGCTCGCACTGTCGAAGAAGTACCATTCAATTTTGTGTATCGGAGCTGTGGTAAGCTACAGCCACTTGCTTTGGAATTCGATCAATAATGTGCTTGAGCACATGGATAGGCCAATCGTTACGTATCTGAAACGTTTTATGGTCGGTCTATTGCGCAGGTAAGGGGTGCCACCACTCATTATGATGCTGTCGCTAACTCCGCTGCCTCGGGAATTATGTCGGCTAGTTTGAAGTCAAGTAAGTACCTCTTGGAATCCAAATAGTCGTCAAGTGATTGCTATACTCTAATGGCTTAGAACATATGGTATGTGGTGTAAATTGAATGAGTTCTTTTTCGAAACAGCTGTTTAGGAATCTGGTCTACGCAGTTATTTCTGTATGTGATCTGCAACTCTACATTGGTTTTAAATCCCTATGTTCACTGCAGGATGTTGATGATTCCAGTTCGTTCTCATGATATGTGGCTTTCGTGGCTGCAGATGTACCCTGCATATTTGGTGTTCTCACAACTGAGAACATGGAGCAGGTACTCTGCTTTTTTAACTGCCTGTTTGTATTACATTTGAGTTTCTCATACTCAGTACTTACAAGTTTCTCTTGTGCAGGCCATTGATAGAGCGGGTGGGAAGGCAGGCAATAAGGGAGCTGAGGCTGCTATTACCGCGGTAAGTGCGTTAAGATTTTGTGCTAAGATTTATTTTATGTAGTTGGTGTGATTTGTGACCTTCAAACAGCGTATATGTAATAAATGGAGATTTAATATTTTCTTTTACTCTGCAGCTTGAAATGGCATCCCTTTTCCAGCATCATCTAGGTGGCGGAATTAGTGATTAAGTATTAAGATTCAGCAAAAGAGGAAATCCAGAGTTTTGTCCGAGTTGCCAAAGTAGATTTTTCTTTTCTTTTCTTTTCTTTTCAATGAGTTTGTACGAAGAGGATATCTTCGTCACTTGAAACAGTATTTTTTCTCATAATTCCATGAAAGCTTGATCCTCGGGAAGTTACCACTATCTATCATGAGATGCACTTGAGATTGAGGTGACTTTTCTACATGCATCAATTCTTTATTTACCAACAAATCTCCAATGAAGTATGAGCAACGCACGTCAAGCCCGCTACAAACACAGCATGATCCAGCCCATTCAATGGATCATGAACTCAACACTCTGCGTGAACCACAGGTTACTCGATTAACGTCTGTCGGGAAGGTCTCTCATTAGAGTTTATGTGACGTGCGAATACAGAGAACTAAAAAAAATCTCATCAACTGGATGAAGCTGCTAGCGTCACGATAATCCAGAGACGCCATCTTGGCACAAGGGTTTCCTACAATTCCATTTACAGAAATATGCCAACACCACCATGCTGCTTTGCTGTATCGATCCTTACATCACCTTGGGAATCTTCACCATTCTCTAGATTTCAGAGCCATAGCCGGATCTATAGAACCTAGTCCAATACAATAGAGAGGAAATTGTTGATTCATTCTAGCAAGCACATGCAAGCTTCAGGTGAACATATCATCTGCCGCTGTAGTTTCTGAAGATCTTCATCAATTATATATGATCCCTAAACTATAGTTGTCATTTGAACACTTGTCATAGTTGCCCCAGTTCTGCATGCAGGTGACCAAATCGATTCTGGCTTTCCGTTCATTACGACCTAATCCAGGAACTTTAGGGAGGAATCTATCCCAAATTCCTCCACGGAGTATAAATCCCGCATCCATGATCAATTGCTCACAACATCTCCCTTAGGGGCAGAACCTGAACCTGATCTCCAGTTCCACCATGATCTTGAATGCTGCTCCTGAGGTGGTTCGTGCTTTACCCTGCTTTCCAATCCCGAAGCGATGCACTCTATTCTCTTGCTGTAACAACAGGCGTACATGATAAGACATAACTTGCAGTAATATACTTCATTCTTGAAAACGAACTTTGGATTGTGGCACACATTTCCACTACGGGAAGACTCGTTAGAAATATTACTTGGTGTCATACAGGCGACCATGCATACTCCAGCGCTGCCGAAACCCATCAACACCCTCTATCCCGGAGGCTAGAATCATCCGTCTGTCACGCAAACGTTTGAATGTCAAATACTGTGAAATGTGAAAAACTGCACTGATACATTTTCCGAGTCGCGCAATTACAGCATAAACCCCTCCACATGAACTTTTAAATAGATAATAAAATCTCAAAAATAAGTTATAATCGATGCACCCCGTTCGTTCTGAAGAGCTAACCTTTCTAGAACCTCGGCCTCGGTTTTCAACTGCGCTAACCGCTCTCGAGCATCAGTCTCCGGCATGGTAAGTGCTAGTGTCTTCTCCGCATCTTGTATTCTTTTTCTTACCTCGGCATCCTGATGTGACAGCCCACCCATCCCAGATCATAATTATTGTAAAATCACTTCAAATGGTTCATGAACCTCCATAACATCGCTCCAAGCATACCCAGCAGAAAAAGTGAATTTAGGGTTTGGACTGTGCATCAAATTAATGAGAACCGTGTGTTCCATGATTAACTAAGTCCTCAATTGTCCTCAATCTGGGGGCATGAGAGAATCACCTGGAAATGACATACAGCTCTGAGGTGCTGCCAGCTCATAAAGCTCTAATTACGAAAATGCATAAGAAACAAGAGAACCCCCAGAGGTTGAAGAGAAGATGCCAGGGATTTCAAACGACCTTCACAGAGTTGCCAAGGGTTTAGGGTTTAAAATTTAGTGAATTATACAGAAGGTTTACCCTTTGTTCAGAACAGCGGCGATACAGAATGATGTGGTCCTGACAGAAAGGTTCGATATCATTCACATGAAGGCCTGCAGTTTACAAATTAATCAGAATTGCCCTCAAAAATTGCCAAATCCTGACAATTGCCTCAACCATTCATACAGAACCAAACTCTCGAGGAAAAACTTTCGACTGCCACGAGAAAAAAAGATTGATAGAAACTCAAAAAGTAACCCATACGAGTCCTTCATAAGAAATCCGCCCAACTTTACGAAATCTAGAGTCTCTGCCGATATCACGACAAAAATAACACCAAACATGAGTCCTCCCCGCCACCTCAAAGTTCGGAAGCGAGCAAGTTCAATGCAGAAGCGGGGCTTACAGTGGAAAAGACGACGAAGGGAGGAAGAGCAGGTTTCAATGCCGTCCAGAACATGCGATGCAAGCTCGGGTGGTATCATCGGCGAAGGAGGACCCATCATCAGATCGTCCCCTGTGAGGATTGTCTCTTCTGCCATCTTAGCCTCCCAACAGACCTCCTCTTCTCGACACCGCACTTTCAGAGTCGCCACTCAGTTCGTAAATCCTCTGTAGACCAACAGTGCGAGACCGCCATCACCAAATATGGAAGAGCAACAATCACAAAGCACTTACACATGCTGCAGAGCAGCGATGCGAGGAAATGGTGCTCGAACAAGCAACCGACGACCCGTGGTCGCCCACCAACGGACGATTCGAAATACGGTTGCAGGCACCGTGTTGCACATTGCTTAAAACTGAATTACTGACAGAGTCGTTTTTTTATCATCGATTATAAGTTTCAAAGTAAAGAGCTCCGCACCCGGATCAGTAAAGTCGCAAATAACAACAGTAGCTCCCGTGGCCTAATGGATATGGCATTTGACTTCTAATCAGGGGATTGTGGATTCGAGTTCTACTGGTAGTGCTTTAAACATATTGTTTCCAATAGTAATCGAAATCGAATTCGCTCAGCGGTCATTATACTGTGACTAAGCTTATCTATCTTTTGACTCCTTGTTCAGTATGACTACTAAAACGACCACTGCGCCAAACTTGGGCTTCATGCTCGCAACGGCTCGACGGGGCTGTCACCCTCTTGGGCATCCCATTCCAGGAAACACGGCGTGCTCGACCACGCAAAGAGAAGCAGTGATGACGAACCGTGCCAAGCGAGGAGAAGCAACTACAACAGCAAAGCGACGAAACGCAAGTAGACGCGAAAAGACATTCTGTACAAACAATTCACAGTTCATTGGCGCGGGGATTATTCAATGTAAGTTTCGAATGAAATTTAATCACATACTCTTACTCCCAAAGGTCTCAAACCCACTATCCCCTGATTAGAAGTCAGATGCCTTATCCATTAGGCCACGGGAGCTGGTGTTTTCCGAGCTCGGATTTACAGTTTTTACTCAAATCCATTTTAATTTAGCTTCGATTTTATTTAATTTAGTTTCAATTTAAGTTAATAAAAAAATTAAAATTTCAAAATCGATTTTACTTATTTTAATTCAACAACCTTTGGAGACTCTAAAATAATTAGTTGGTATATTTTCAAACAATTTTAAAATAATTTTAATTTAATGATTTCAAGCAACATTGATTCAACAACTTAATCTACAATTATAACATCAAGTTAAGCTTGTAATATTCATGAATCATATCCTAGATATAGTCTTTCTGATGTTGTGATCTCATGGTTTCTTCATTGGCTAATGCCACCAACTTTTTTATTATGCGGCTTAAGATTTTGTGCTGTGACCAGGTTTCTTAGACTGTCGCTTCTCAGATCATTTTTCTTGAAGTGGGATTTCGTGAGTCAACTGCGATGGTGTGGACATCAATGTCGACACAATATTTCTTGTACTTGGCTTCTTCATTGTGCTACTCTTGGAAGCACTTGCCATTGGTGTCTTTCTTTGCCTTTCCTCTAATGTCTTTGATTGATTTTCAGGGTGGTATATTCTCAAACTTAGCAACATAATGCCAATACTTGGTTATATATACTCAAAAGAAAGAAGCAATAGTAATACAATTGTTTGTTGATGATTGTGCTTTAGTCAATTGTTTTTTCATCCTCGGCCAAGAAATATATGTCTTTAGTGATATTTGAAATAATGTTGACTTGCTTGCAAAAAAATACTAAGAAAAGTATGCCACAAATGCAAGTATTATCATTGGATATGGCCCTCATACTTGGATCCATGGCTAGTGACTCTTAAGAAGTCAAATCCAAATACCACTTTGAGATAATTAACATTTTACAAGATCTCTTCATCCTCAATCATGCCCAAGTATTGATCAATTAATGATTTGTGTTATGCCATATTTTCTAAAAACTTTCAATACCACTTATTGTTTACGTCAAATAAGAGTTAGTGATAGTAATTCTATAATCCTACACTATTGGCTCAATTGTTGTCTTACATATTGATCCATGTTTGGATTTTGAGTGTGGTAGAGAATTGTGCACAAGAACATGGTGCCATTGTTGTAGAAGAGAAAAATCTTTGAAACAAAGATAAAAACAAGAAGACAAAGAGACAAAAGGTGTAAATACAAGATAGTAAGACGAGTGTGTTTTGAAATGGAAAATTATTGTTGAGAAGGTATTTGTATAAAGAACTAGATTAATGTGAAAGTTTCCAAATGTTTTCATGTTGGCTACAATTTTTAACTTCAATAAGATTGGTTGCTTTGTAATTATATTGTGTTTAATTAATGATGTCGTGATGTAGGTAACTGCAATCTTGAAGAAATGTGTTAAGTGCAACTTGGAATTGTAAATGGAAATGATATCTTTTAAGAGAACAGCATGTGAGTACATAGAAATTGAGGTTGCAAATTTATATTAAGAAAGCTTATTTATATTTAGAATAGTGGCATATAGATCATAATGATCCTAATTAATGAATAAAATTGTATTATTGGATAATGCAAGCTGAATTCTATAGGATCCATGTCATAATGCATCAAATTTGGCATTTCAAATTTTTGGGTCTTTAGAGCACCAAATGACCATATTGCTTCTATTGAATTTACAAGGTTTGTACTTCTTTTGAAATGCACTGAATATTTTTTTTTAACTATATGCAATTTGAATTATAGCATAATGGCATAATTTATTTATTCTTTTAAGATATTTCACATTGCCAACGAGTGCTTTAATAGTTGTGTCAAGGACAAGAACTGGATGAAAAAACAATTTAGACAAGTGAGCCTTCACTCAAAGAGAGGTAACAAAATATACATAAACAAGTATATATATTGAAAGAGAAACTGGAATGGCTATTTCCAAAAGACAAGAAAACTAAAGACCCTTGAAACTAGACTAGAAGCAAGAAAGGAGTTGACAAGAGTGAAGAAGCCTTCACTCTTGTCTCTATATATACTATCTAACTAGGGGCTACGTGGCGACGTTCTATAGGACCTCTAATATGTGTTGACTTTGTAGGATACATGCCTTGACTTACAAGGCAAGTTTTTCTAAGTGTGGGCCACATAGTTAGCTTGATCTTCAAGCTAACAACATGTGTGGCACATGGCCAACTTGTTGACCACGTTTCTAATCCAAAAAGTCAATTAAAGACACCTATGAAGTCAAAGCAGCATCTAGGAAGTTTCTAGGAAGCTTCCATATTAAATACTATAGAATTAACTTACTTTTATCTACTTTTACTTACTTCTACCTATTTCTATATGTAATTATTAGCTTACATGATTATGGCCGTGACATTATCTCCTCTTCTAGGGACGTGTTCTACGAAGAGCGGTCATCATATGTTGAGGAAATCTATGATGCGATGAATTGTATTCGCCACATACTCTAATCTTTGTTCTCTTCGAAGATGATTGATAGGGCCTCTCAACCATCGGTAGTGTCCCATACTAGGGCGGAAAGACCACCCAGTTATTTGATCATTGTTGAGGCCTTCGTAACTTCCTTCGAATAGAATATTTGGAATACCATCAGGAGTTGTTCCTACCTCTAACAAAATCACCAAACATCGGGAGTCCCTTCCCAAATCATGATACCAAACGCGTTGTATCTCACGATCTATTCGAGGAAGAATATGTCGTTCTTGAAGATCTTCATCTCGATTGCGTCGACTTGAAGGTTGTGACAATCATAATGTCTCGTCCGGCAGGTCAGCAAATGAAGGCTCTTGAGTTGAATCTGCTGGTTGTTGGTTCTCCATCTCCTAAGCGCCACTACTACAACGAAGCTACGAATAAGAATTAAAAGTAGAATGTTATCTTGCCTAGATGTTGTTTCTTTTATAAAGAAGGTTTTCATCTTGATTTTAATGGATGTCGTCGATGAAAAGCCTCCACCACCTTTGGTGCATTTGCAAGATTCTTTATTGGCTCCCATGTGCATTCACTAATACCATATCCGCGCTAATGGACAAGATATTCTAATTTATTTCAGCGTCGCCTTGAATCTAAGATTTCTTCTACTTCAAACTCTTCATTATTGTCCACTTCTATAGGATGAGGTGGAGCTTGTCGTCTTCTTGGTATGTTCACTGTCTTGTATGGTTCAAGAAGAGACACGTGGAATATTGGATCGATTTTCATTGACTCTGGTAGATCTAAACGATATGCAACTGGATTGATTTGTGCAGAAATAGAAAATGGTCCCAGCCTTCGATAGTCCAACTTGTCATAAGGACGAGTGGTCTTGATATTGTGACGAAGTAGCCATACCTTATCACCCAAGACGAATGATGGTTGTTCCTTTCGATAGACATTTGCATTGGCCTTTTGTTGTTCTTGAGCCTCTTTTAACTGCACCTTCATCGTTGCATGTAGCTCTGATAAATGAATTGCCAAATCTTTCGCAGCAGGATTATCAACTTTTGAAAAGTCAAAAATATCAAGTCGTGGATGATAACCATAATTAGCAAAGAAAAGTGTTTGTTTTGTAGAAGAGTGTACCGTGTTATTGTAAGCAAACTCTGCCAATGGCAAAAGAGTTGTCCAATCATCTTGTTGGTAATTAATGGTACATCTTAAATATTGCTACAAAACTTGATTAACACGCTCCGTTTGTCCATCAGTTTGAGGATGGAATGCCGAAGATAGTTTTATATCCACTTTAAGAATCTTGAAAAGAGTCCGCCAAAATCTTGATACAAATTGAGTTCCCCTATCTGATACAATATCCTTGGGTAATCTATGATAGCGATAGATATTGTCAAGAAAGAGCTTAGTTGTTTCTTCACCTGTGATAGATTTTATACATGGTACAAAATGTGCCATCTTGGTAAAACGATCTACTATCACGAATATAGAGTCATAAGAACCTGAGATTGGAAGATCCGTGATGAAGTCCATAGAAACAGAAGACCATGGTTGTTCTGGAATGGGTAATGGCTGAAGAAGTCGAAAAAGTCGATGACGAGGACTTTTTGATCTTGAGCAAATATCACATGATTGTACAAAATCTTTAACTACCTTCCACATTTGAGGCCACCAAAAATCCCTAGATATCAGCTCTAAAGTCTTATTATATCCGAAATGTCCTACTGTTGGGAAGTCATGACGAGCTTGAAGAACACGTAAACGTGCTTCTCCTTCTGGAACATATAGGCGTCCTTCGAAATAGAGTAGGTTGTTCTTGAATTCAAATTTAAATGGATCATGAGATTTAGAAGAATTGTTCTTGATATCATGAACAAGAGGGTCTGAAGACATACTTAATTGGACTTGCTTAAGGAAAGTTAAATCAACAATCAATGTTGATTTTATTGCTCGAAGATGAAATTATTTTGGCTTCAAGAGAACCGTTCTTTGTTGCTCAAAAGCTGCATCTCCTTCTTTTGGTGCAAGATAAGAACGTCTAGACAAGGCATCGGATAAACCTTGTTGTTTTTCTGGCCGATAAGTGATGATGAACTTGAATCTTGATAAAGACATATTCCAACGAGCTTGGCGATAATTTAGTACGCATGCTGACATAAAATATTCGAGGTTCTTGTGATCCGTATACACGGTGACTGGACTAGAAGTGCCTTCTAGATAATGATGCCATTCTTGAAAAGAATCCACAATTGCAAGAAGTTCTTTGTCGTGGATCTCATAATTGATTTTTGCTCTAGAGAATTTTCTTGAATGAAAGGCTACTGGATGAAGTTTGTCATCTGT